GCGATAAGGTCGGCCAAGCTTTTAAGTGTGTTGTCAATGGTACCCACCTGGTGTAGCTTCCGCATCGTCAGTCTGATAAGGAAAATGTGTGTCGTTTGAAATGGGTTTAGAATTCCATGTTCTTTGGATTAACGAGATTTTCGTGTCTATCCTAATGAAGAATACACGTTCTCTTGAAGTAACTCAGTAGTGGACTGTTTATTCTCCTAAATTTGGACCGAGTTACTTGGAAGTGACGATTCTGTAACCAAGGCACTTATTTTGTCTTTTTCTCAATGATCTTCTAGATTTATTTCCGAATGGTAGGTCTTTTATATACGCCTGCCGATATAAATCGGCAGATTGCAACATCGTGTTCGAGCACCTAAAAAGAATTTTCAGGCTTTTATCCAGTGGTGCGGCTCATGGCGTATTTCCCTTTCATGATAAAATGCTTCGATATGGTTGTTGGCGTTGATAATCCGCCTCAACTAAGCACAGACTCTCATGACCTACATGGGCCCATACTTATGAAGGGTATACAAATAGAACATTCCAATGGTCTTAGCCTATCCTCAGACATTATAAGACTACCAATATAAGAACCAGTCTCTATAAGGTGTACGTTATTTCCATTTTGGACTTCTGTTCGTTTCTGTTTGGCATTCCTTGTGCTAGTGGACGACAGAAACAGGAACACAAGCTTTAATGGCATAGCACCTTTGAGCGCTGTTAGTATCCTTCGATTCCCGGAATAGACCCGACAACAAATCACTACAGTATTTCTTAACGGAAAGAGTTTTCTCTTCAGAACGCCATAATTTATCCTACGAACAGCCTTATCAGCTGCACCGTTGTTGCTTCGTAGATTAGAGATGGAACTATTTTTAATGTCTGAACTTTCAACAGTGCTTTTCCTAGCCTCCTTATTACTTTGAGGTGGGTTGAATACCATCGGCGCTCCATTCATCGGGATGTCATTTTATTTCTTCCTCTGGCACGCACAGTTAGATATAATCATCCAATTCTGGAAAAGGCTACCCACAACTATCAAATCTGCACAAACCTATCCTTTGTTGATAAGGACTATGTTATGGAGACGCGAACGGTTACGCACTCAGGGCCCAGAGCTGGCAGTGCACCCCAGATAAGCCATGCCGGCA